TTAGGATCTCTTATCTCCGCCGCATACTTTCCCCAAGGCCGCCTCCTAACTCCCCTATAACTCACCTCCTTCTGCGGCGCGTTTGTATCACGCACCGTAACCTCTGACTCCTCATCACGACTCGCCTCATACTTCGGCTCCGTCTTAACGTTGCCGCTACACTCTATAGGTAGAGCAGCGGCGAGCATGTTATTGCTCAGGAGGAGCTGAGTGAAACTTACTGAACTCTGGTAAAATGGTGGCCGTTCACAGGAGGAAACCGACTCCGAAGAGTTGATGGAAGTTCCAGAGTCATCTGCGAGGAGATACCGGCGGATAGATTCCAATAGAGCATAATCGGAACCTGACATTTTTAATTATTCTCCGGCCAAGAAACTACTACTGTGGTAGTGTTTGTGAAATACCGCTTCTGGCTATGGAATCAAAAGGGATACATAATGTAGTATTTATAAAGGCATTGTGGGTTGGGAGAGATCGAGGGAATTTGTTATGTGATTGGGAGCGAGGAAAATTTTATGTCATTTTGTTGACACTTTCCTTGTTTCTAATTAAGAAAGTTCAACAATTCTATTCACGCGGTGGAAATGGGGTGTGAATTCTATAATAATGCAAGAGGTAAATACTATATTAGTTATATACTTTATTCTTACATCATTAACCTATATTAAAAGAGTTATTCATCACATTTATGTTAAAGTGCATGAATCCAGATAGATACAATATTAATTTATATGCACTGATAGTGAAAAATGTCATACACACATAAATATAATAATTTTTTAATAAAATAATTGATCTTTCTTTTGATTTAATATATATAATAAAGGCATTGTGGGTTGGGAGAGATCGAGGGAATTTGTTATGTGATTGGGAGCGAGGAAAATTTTATGTTATTTTCTTGACACTTTCCTTGTTTCTAATTAAGAAATTTCAACATTTCTCTTCACGTGGTGGAATTGGGGTGTGAATTCTATAATAATGCAAGAGGTAAATACTATATTAGTTATACACTTTATTTTTACATCATTAACCTACATTAAAAAAGTTATTCATCATGTTTATGTTTAAGTGCATGAATCCAGATAGATACAGTACTAATTTATATGTACTGACAATAAAAATTATCATATACACATAAATATAATAATTTTTTTAATAAAATAACTGATATGTCTTTTGATTTAATATATATGTTATTACTAATCAATTCAATCGTTAAAATACTATTAATTCTTCAAGCTTATAAAAGTTGAACTGGATTTACGACTTCTATGAACAATGAAGGGAATATTGAATGAAAGGAATACTATTATTGTGAAACTCAGTTCAATTTACAACTTTTATGAACAATGAAGAAATCTTCTATAGCAGTCCAACCAAGCCTCATTCCAATATGTGATGCTATCAATTCTTTTGTCTGTGTAACTAGCTAGCTAGGCACATGAAAAAGGTCTTCAATTTAATCAATGAAACGCCAAAAATCTTACAGAAATTTGACTACAATCTGGAGATGTGCCAATGGTGACATTGTAAAGTAGGATTTGAGGAAGCTGAAGGTTGTCTTAGCGTCCCACCAAGCTCTACCGGAACAAGTGGAACGAGAGAGTGCAGAACATCCGTTATTAATGGACCATAACTTGGCTCTGGTTGCACGCGTAGTAAAGCTACTGCAGCAACCTATAAACATGGCAATTATCCTTAATATATCATTAAAACAACAGTATAAATACAAGTTATACTACTTTTGGGACCAATAGCCAAACTACCCTTTTGACCTCTTTCGTTCATTAGATGGTGGGCAGGATTTCAAAATTTCACGCCAAATGCATCCAAATAAATCCAAACATAACTTACAGTTAGCGTTTTGGAAGTAGAAGAGAAGCATAGAGATGCTGCAACCTTGTAGTAATTCAGGCTATTATGGTCCAATCGAACCTTTAGAACACCACTCCATCGATCCATGGATGAATTGCCTGTCATAACAACATAGAACAAAA